TAGAAAAATTTCTAAGAGCATTAAATTAGTTACTCACTCCTGTTTAGACCCAGGTCTAAATTGTTTACTCTATAGCCAGCCCATCTTAATTAAAATATGTCTAACTTTAATGTAAACTTGCAAAGAGTCTATTTCTAAAGTGGCAAATTTCTCTGGTTTCTATATATCCCCTTTCTCACTGGCTGAAAACCTATTTAAACCTGGGAACAATCAGCTTTTAGTGGCAGTGGGAACAGCTCATTGATGTGTGTCTAACCGGGTCAAACATCTTGGCAAGCGACCCTTGTTAAAATCGTCTCGGCTCTGACCCGCTAAATTACGTGACATCATGGAAAGCAACGTATGACGTCATCACACAGCCCTAACCACGTTTGATGTAACAAGCCTTTTTACATTTGTTAAGCATGGCACGGCACTGGTGAGAGGGATGCGGACAGATAATAGAGCAAAACAATAATGCACACTGACTATGCCCTGGCTTCCTTATATGTTGCTCTCCATTGTTTACTTTAGTGATTTATGTCGTACTGGTGACATGATCAATACTAACCCAGCTCGATGGTATCACCAGACACGCAGCGGCGGGGGAGAGAGGCCACGGAGCTTATCAGCGAGGGGTTTGCCCCACCTTTTCTTGCCAGTGGGAAGGGAGCCAAATGCCTATTGTTAGCGGGTCGACCCATGTTCGAATAACACTCACGAACCCGCTGTTTTCAGTGGGAAAGTGGCTTGAGTAAGGAAGAGCAGCGAATGTTTGGCTGCATGTTAACAGACGGGTTCTTTTTAAGTAGTTTCTTGAATCTGCAATCCAGAGAATATTTTTCCCTTAATATAGCTTGAGGAACTAAACCAAATGACTGATCCAACTCAATGTTAGGAATTTTTTTTACTAAGGTTTAGTTTTTATATATATATATATATATATATATATATATATATATATATATATATATATATATATATATATATTATTGCTGTCAATCGATTAAATTTTTTTAATCGCGATTAATCGCATCAATGCCTAAGTTAACTCGCATTAAGATAATCGCATTTTAATCGCACATTTTTTTTCTGATTGAAAATCATTTAAATACTCTCGATGACATACAAAAAAATACATACAGGCTAGGTTTGTGCCAATGTTCTTTTTTTTTAATGAAAACAGGTTACAGATACTGATTTATGCCATAGACACATATGGCAAGAAGATGGGGAGGCATGTAGCAAAAAATAACAAATATGTAGCCAAAAAAAAGGCCCTGAAAACAGGCTGATGTAAAAGACAGTCTTTACAGTTAATACAGTCTTTTGAACAAAGACAAGCATTTTACCCTACTGCTAAAATATGTAGTAGAGTTAACATTAGATGTCAATTAACCAAGGTAATAATGAACAATTTTCAATCAATACATCAAAATCAATAGACCGACATCACTAGATGGAGGAAGTCTCTCTAGAAAGTTACTTTTCAGCCTCTTAACAAAAATGAGAACACACACACACACGATACTGACCTGTGGCGTACACAGACAGCAAGAGTGCCGTAGCAGATTCCATTTCACCTCAGTAATCTGTTTTCTCAGCGTATTTCAGGTTGCTACTAGTTACCAGACACTCAACTTGTTTGTTGGTGGTGGGGCTTAAAGAAAAGGCACTAGCGTCACCCAGTGTATGAGCGTCTTTTTCCCTTGAGGAGCTCCGCTCTCGAAGCCTATGAGAAATGCATAGACTGGGGGGAAATAGCCCCGCCTTCTCGCAGGCTGCAGCGGGATGTACTTGGAAAATTGTACCATAAAACCACATAGCGTTAATCTCACGTTAAAAAAATTATCGCTGTTAAAATGGCGTCACGTTCACGTGTTAATAACGTGATAATTTTGACAGCACTAATATATATATATATATATATATATATATATATATTGATTCCTGGAAGACCTTTTGCTAAATTAAACCATGTTTTGGAGTCTCTACATTCCAGTTAATAACTTTTAGCGATTATTTCAATAATCAATTAATCAGGATTAACCTGATTAATTGTTTCAGTCCTAATCTGAAAGATGTTTTGTGATATTATTGGCTGCTCAGTGACGCAGTGATAGCACTGCTGCCTTGCAGCAAGATGGTTCTGGGTTTGATTCCCGGATTCTGCATGGAGTTTGCTTGTTCTCCCTGAGCAAAGGTGGGTTCTCTCCCACAGTCCAAAACCATGACTGTTAATTGGCTTCTCTAAAGTCCCCTTCGGTGTGCGTGAATGGTTGTTTGTCCTGTGTGTCTCTGTGTTGCCCTGCGATGGACTTGTCCAGGGTGTACCCCGCCTCTCGCCCATAGACTGCTGGATATAGGCACTAGCACCCCTCGCGACCCCACTCGGGACAAGCGTGTCAGATAATGGATGGATGGATTGATTTCAATGTAGAATATTCTTTATTTCTTATAGCACTAGCATATGATGGAGTAAGTTTGGTGAGTGATGTCTCTCCCAAACTGCTTCCCACTGTAACTGACTGTTTCAAAGTCCCATGAGGAAGAATACCTTTATTTCTCCCAAAGAAAAAAAAAGGTTTAATTTCACATTTGCATTAGAAAAAAGCAAGGACACAAACTGGATAGAACCATCAGTTACTACTCTGTATACAGCCTGGACAATCCATGTAACAGTAGGACAGAATATTTACACCCTCATAGTCCCAGAGAGACATAGCAATTATGGCCTATTTAGACCCTGCATGATTTCCATGTACTTCAGTTCAGCAGTTTTTGCTGTTATATAATCTGACAACTGGAGGAAAAAAGTGACAAAAACGCCTCCTCGCACTTTTGGGCAGTTACAACTTGCCTCTGAAGGATCTCGGCTGAGTAGATACAGTCCAGTCGAAAGGTTTGGTAGTAATCTTTATCCCAAGGGATAGCTTCCTCATCATCATCATCCCTCCCACCACCTCCACTGTATCCAGGGGGCATGATCCTATGGCTGTCCAGTCTCTGTCAGCTGTCAAAATGCCACCACCCCAGGAGGCCACTCCATGAAATAAAAGCTGATGCCACTCTGGTGTTGTAGAAGAGCCCTGTTCTCGTACCCCAAAATATCTCAAGTCTGTTGTCCAGGTGCTCATCCAGGTATTTGTAAGATAACCGTCTCTGTTCCCTGAATATGGACTGGTGAGAGGGCGGTGCCTAGTTGTTCCTTTACAAAAATCTGGAGGATGTTTAATGAGCACCAGAAAACAGACTGGGCGCTTCGGTACTTCCATGACTGCCTCAGCTATGCATAATGAGTAAACTTTTAATTGCAGAACATCATTGCTTGAATCATTTGGACTGAAAGATGCAGAAACCAATGACACATCCAGCTGGATTTACAGACATTGCTGTGATTAAATAATAAACAGTCAATAAATCAAACAAAAACAACAGCACCTCCTGACTGGAAGGTGTACACGTTGCATGTATACGTATAGCTGTGACTCCCCTGTCATGAGCACACCACATTGTGTGGGCTGTGCAGCTTTCCTATCAACAAAACGTCTCTTGATATTAAGGCTGGACGATATAGCATATCGATATAAAAAAAATGCATATTGATCAATATTGATATCTAAAAGCTTTTTGTATCTCTGCTTCTGTCTCCTTGAACCCCAGTCGGCCTCGGCAGATGGCCGCTCACACTGAGCCTGGTTCTGCTACAGGTTTCTTCCTGATAAAGGGAGTTTTTCCTCTCCACTGTCGCTACAAGGATGCTTAGTGTGAGGGATTGCGTTTGAGTCAATGACTCGATGCAATCAACTGGTTTTCCTTAGATAGAAAACTTTGAATCAATTTGACATCACTAACTAAGAAAAAAAAATGCACCAAAGTCCAAGGAGCCAAGCAAAGTGTTGTAGAACCAGTTAGATGTCAGTAAACCAATCAACATTCATGTTCTTACATAAGATTTACTTCGAATCATCGTTATTAGGTAAAAACAGATTAACATGCCTTTTGGTGACCGCTTGCTAGAAATAAAAGAACTGAATAGGACTATGAAGCCTACCGTTCAGGTTGGTATTTAATCCATGCATTTTGGTCTCAGTGGAGAAGAAAGGCTAATCAGTTTAATATTCTTACAGATTAGTGGGATGTTTGGGGTTGTATCGGGGTCGGACAGGATGTATCATCGCTTCACTATAAGCTATGCTCCAGATACTCAGTGGTGTCTGCCGAGCTTGGCCGGCATCCACAGCTCAGGGCCGCTGTCTTGCCTGGGATGTATTTGTTCAGTGGCGGTGTGACTCACCTTACTGTTCTCAGCTGTTTACCTCTGGTGGCGTTAGAGCCATAGTATGCATGTGTTGTGTGTTTGTAAACAGAAACCAGTCTATTTTGCAGGGAAGCGTCAATGATAGAGATAGGGTTTGTTTGTTGAGATTTTTCTGCTTTACATCTTCTTGATCACAGATCCCTTTGTAGGATGGAGAAGTGAAATAAGATAAGTTATGTAAGCAGGTTTTGGTTTTGTTTCAAAAATAAAAAAAATATAAATTCTAAACTAGGGCAAAAAAAAACAACTAATGGTTTATAAAATGATTTAGATCTTAGGAATTAGAATAAAGATAAAAGCTTACATAAATGGCCCAGTTGGACCCAAATTCTCTTTCATTTAGAAGTTTGACTTATGGTAAATCAAAGCTGTTTACCATTTTTTAAATTCATTAATCTTTATGCACTAAACTAACTCTCTTTATCTGGAACTGCCTCCTTTCTTTATATCTATCTCGCTGTGTTTTGCTCATCTTCGTGACCTATTTTGCTCTACTTTTGATGCCTAAAGATTTAGCTTCTTGCTTTTTGTTTTTTGCCACCTTATCTTCTCATTACATTTCTTATCGCTCCTTATTTAGCCATTCCCCTTTAGTAATCATCCCTTTCTTCCTCTTCTTTACTCTAATGCTTTGCCTATGTATGGAGCCCTTACTTCCTTACCTACCGCTGACAGGGGTCTCCTGTGGAACATTTTGCAGACCCTGTGGTCCTGGGAAGAGCGTTATGGCTCAGACGCTGCAGATGGCGATCCCTAACTTTGGCAACAACGTCCTGGAGTGTCTGAACGAACAGCGGCTGCAGGGCCTCTACTGTGATGTCTCCGTGGTCGTCAAGGGGCATGCCTTTAAGGTAAGATTTGTTTGCTTTTTAAAATATCTTATTTTAATTATTTCTCCGAAAGCAAAATGTTTAAAAATGTTATAACTTCATAATGTTGCTCTGTCAAATAGAAGGGTTTAATGGTAGTTGAAATGAATGTCTGCTATAGCTTTCTTTTTTGTTTTGGTTGGACGTGAAGTCTTTAAAATTTTGGTTGGATAATTATCTGCAGCTTTCAGTGAAATGGATTTTGATTTCCTTGGTTTGCAGCTGGAGCAGGACAAAAAAAAAAAAACTCCACAACTGGATTTGATTTAGCAGGCAAAAGCCTCCTATCTCTGTCATTAAAAGCCACAAACCGTTCTGTATGTTTTAGTGATTTTATGTCACGAGGTTCACAAATACATATTGAATCAAAACGTTTAGAACTGCAGTGATCAAGTATACAGGCTTGCAAATATCAACATATCACAGGCCTTTTAGCCCTGTCTGACCAGTCTGACCAATCTCTGATATGTGATGTCAATTTTCTGGTTGCAGATTCTTGATGTCGATGTAGCTTTCTCTTTCCCGTTTACATGATAAATATGAACACTCTCAATTTAAACAAAGCAGAAACATTTTTTAACAAATCAAGCAACAAATTCACAAGGGATAACAAATCAATGGCAATTGGTTGCAGTGGATTTTATTGATTGGTTAACATCTACAGGCTGCTGAATAAAAGTGCTGATTTTTATGTGGAAAGAAATGAAAACATAAAAAATGGAAAAATCTTCATCAAATATATTGAAATGTTTGGTCTTTAGTTGACATAGTGTGAAACAAATTAAATGGGCTTAATTTGATTGGCAGGTGACATATTTACCTTCAGTTAATTTGTCATATTCAAAGGTGGAGATAGAGTCAGTTTTTTTTTTTTTTTTGTTATGCAGTTTGTATATTCAGCGTGAAACCCTGTGTTGTTTAAACCTTGATGACTTCCGCTGTCTCGCTGTTTACCCCTCAGGCTCATCGTGCCGTTTTGGCAGCCAGCAGCTCCTACTTCCGTGATCTGTTCAATGCTGGGGGGAAGAGCTCGGTGGTGGAGCTACCTCCGGCTGTGCAGCCACAGAGCTTCCAGCAGATTCTGGCCTTCTGCTATACGGGACGCCTCAGCATGAATGTTGGAGACCAGTTTCTGCTCATGTACACTGCCGGCTTCCTCCAGATCCAACAGATAATGGAGAAAGGCACAGAGTTTTTCCTCAAGGTACCCTCGGTGTAAAGGAATGTTCGAGAGTCCTTTATGTTAATAGCTGTTACTCAGCATGCTTAAAGAAACATGATGCAGGTTTATGTGTTTGCTGGCTGGCTTTTATGACTCAGAAGTTTATAAATCATGATAGTGACACAGTAAATTCAGCATAAAGCAGTCCTGATTTGATTAGTTTGCATAAATCTGCATAAATCAGGAAAAGTTGTTTTGATTAGAGCTTGCCTTTAATTTTCCTAGGACAAACTTTGCATTAGGCTTAAATGGAAGTCTGCAAAGATGTGTTGTCCTCTCAGAATGATGCTGTCTAAAAATGTGTCCAGTCTAGAGAATAGTGCAAGAGAGGTCTAGATAAGTTTGGGAAAATACTGTGTACCCAACAGACTTGGCTTGATTTGATTGTCTAAAGGTTGCATCCAGCAGTCTTTTCATTCATCTCTACACCTCTTTACTGCCATCCTTTAATTTTTCCAACTATCCTTTTCTTTTACATCAATCTGTTAATCGCTGTCTTAGCTCCAAAAACCCACGATCCATCCATCCGTCTATCCGTCCGTCCATCCATCCATCCATCCATCATCTGTAATTTAGACGAAAATAATTTTTTCCCTTAGTATATAAAGGATGTTGCGCTACTTTTAGAGGTTCAAGCTTATTTTGTTTCCTATGCACACCATTATAATTGCCCACATTAAAATTTGTTTTCTAGTGTTTGCCACAGTCACCCCTATAGACTCCATTAGTGAGTTAATAAGAATTTTTTTTTGTATTCTTTGGTTTTGATGTGCAGGAACTTGGTCAGCTGTTTTTTGAAGATACAGTCGACCAGCCATCATTGCACCTCTAACCCAATCCCAGACTCCTCACAAGAGTAAGAAAATCTAGCACAACAAAAAGAGGCAAATTAGATCGGCAATGAAACAGTAAATATTGGGACAGATTTAATGAAATAAAAAGAGTTTTTCTTTTTGCTGTGATAAATATCATATAAATTGTTATTAGAAGACATTACGCCTCTAAACAAAAGACCCAAGCCATCACAGCGGCAGATGTTTTATCTCTTCTCCCAGGCAAGTGCACAACACTGGTGTCATTTCAATTGTTGCCAGAGGGGCCAAAATTCTGCAAAAACTCTAGAAGTTGTGCTGTGCTCCTTTAAAAATTAGGCACTTTATTTGTAGCAGATCTGTTATAGAGGTCCTTTAAATGTTGAGCTCTATATTTATGTTATTTATACATAAAAGAAAATCATACAATATAATATAATAATCCTTTTAATTTCCTCAGGTCTCATCTCCAAGCTGTGACTCCCAAGGTCTCCACACAGAGGAGACCCCATCCTCTGAACCCCAGAGTCCTGTCACTCAGACAGTGGGAGGGGGGGGTGCCGTAGGAAGGCCTGCTTCCTGTCTGACGCCTCTTCCACTGGTATCCAAGGTAAAAACGGAACAGACGGCCACTACACCTCAGCAAGCCCATCAGCAGCAGGTACGATCTGAACTTAAAACATGCGTCGTGTTGCTCAGATCACCAGCTTGGATTATACTCTGTAACATATAACATCTATTATACATCAAAGAGTCCCGGATTAAAGATGCACCTATTTTGCATTAGCGATATCTCAATTTGATTTTTGGATTATTTTTGGCCTCCACCTAAAATCTCTGGTATTGGCATGTTGATAAAACACAGTGCATCTGTCTAAAGTCTATGTTACCTGTTGGTTAATAAGGAATCGATCAGTTGTTTTCATTTCTATTCCTATTGACTATGTTTCTCTTTTTAAGAAATATCACTTAATCCATCATTTTCTAACATTCCACACTACAAAATAAGTATTAAAAACAAGTATGAATCATAGTGATATTGGCTCAACATCAGTTAGTCATCAAAGGTGTAAAATCTCTACTTTGCATCTATGTTAAAAATTTGTTTTTTTTATGAGTTATTTACAAGAGGATTCCTTTTATTCTATGATATTTTATCACTTCTCATTTTGCTTTCATTTAAGTTGCTTTCTTGGTGAAGCTACATGCATTACCCAGATAGAAAAAATTATGTGAAGGGAAAAAAAAGATTAAAGAACTTAAATAGCTAGCAGCTTAAAAAATAATAATATATACATTTTAGATAAAGTGGTGCTGTTGATTTGTTATTTAAGGATCCTAAAATAAACCTTAATACTTGATCTCTTTCATTTTTTTACAGATTTGAAAATGTTTTTTGTTTGGTTGTCAGCATTTCTTGATGGTGATGATTAACCAGCTCTGTCTCCTTCTTCCTGGGCAGGAGGGCTCACCCTACTCTGTGGTCTGCACCCCCGTTGCCAAGCGGCTGTGGGAGGGGGCAAACCGGGACGGGGGAGGAGGCTCTGGAGGAGGCGGAGGAGGTGGAATGAGAAAGGCTGCACGCTACTCTTCCTCCTCATCTTCTTCCTCCTCCTGTACCACGTTAACGCAGGACGCATCTGGGCGTGGACCCGCGGCTAGTGCTGCGATGGCGGGCAGTGGCGGTGCCACTTTAGTGGGAGGAGCTGGACTCAACAGTAACCACAGTAGTAACAACAACAACGGCGGGACCCCCGAAGGCACGAGTCCAGGAACACTGAGCATGTACACAAGCGACTCACCAATCAGTTACCATGATGACGAGGAAGAGGATGAGATCGTAGATGAAAGCGCTGAAGAGCAGTACAGACAGATCTGCAACATGTACACCATGTACAGCATGCTAAACGCTGGAGCAGCAGGTGAGACAGCAGAGAAGCTCGTCAGGGAGTGAACACCATTCAGCTTTCATAGAGGGGCACAGAGTCCTGGGAGGGGGGGTTATGTGGTGATGACTGCTCCTTTTCTCTTATTGTTTTGCTTCATTTCAGTTGGAACGATTCCGATTCCTCATTTTGATTTCGGTTCCTATTAATTCCAATCCTTTTAAGAGGAAGGGTCTTAAAAGTTAAGATGTTTTAAATGAGCTGGCTAACAAGAATCCTGTCTGGGTGCAATAGTCTATAGAAATTCATGGATTTTCACTCTTTTAATATAATTCTTCTGCATTTTTCCTTGAAAACATAATTAAAACTTGTTCACATAACCAGTGTGTGGTGCAGAAGGTGCCTATGATGTTTTAGTGGGTAATTTAATATTCCTGATTTGGACTGTGATGCAGTTCTAGTCCGGCGGAGGAGAAAGCAGCATTTTGTGTTAAGGAAGTTGGGGAGACTTCCCCACAGAGTTTATATCCTCAGCGTTGTTTACTGGGCCTCAGTTCCAGATGTGGAAATAGTGATGTTTTACTTTTGTGGACAGATCAGATTTCTTACTTCATTCTTAAGTTGGTGGGTTTCATCATATGAAACAGACCCCAAATAAAGTCAAATATACAATGAGTTCAGCTTAAAAGTATTCATGTCTGGCAGATTTGGATCAAAGTCATTTTTATTCTATCAACAACATATAGGTAACGAGGAAAAAAAAACCTTTAGAGTGTAATGATGTTGGCTGTCGGGTGTTCTTTGCATATAATTCTATGGCAGATGTTGCACGTAGCTGACTGGTCAAATCTTTAATTACTGTTTAGCCGCACTTTCGAAAGCTTTCTTCTTCAGTGATTGTCAGAACAGGTAGTGGCCTTCTGGCTGTAAAAGAGTGAGATAGAAGGCTGCACCAAAGTTTCCCTGTTTTGAGCTTTTAATCTCTGTGTCATGACAATATGTTTATATTATAATCTCATAGATAACTCAGCAGTTGTTTTGAAATAATTTATGTCACTTCCCCAAATATAAAGAATTAATGACTGTGCACCGATAGAGGAGACAAAAATAGATAACATTTTGCATGCTGTTCTTGTGTTTAGTCTTAGTTTATCTAAGGGGAAGCAGAGCTTTGCAAAAAAACAGAAATTAAAAAATCATCTTTAAAATTTGGCTCTGCATTTGAGAAAACAGCTTTATTCTCCAATCTTTGCAACTCCTGGCTGCTGTGTGTTTTTAAGCTTGTTTATGCAAACCTGTCAATTGGAGGAAGTTAAGAGGAACAAAGAGTTCAAAACACAGAAGCTACAGATAGTTTTTTATCTTTGCTTTGAGCTGAGTGCTAATACTACATAAGAACAAGCTAACCTCTTTAGGATAAACTAATTGAAATTTAATATTAAAAATACTTTGAAATTTGTTTTTTTTTTATGATTACTGACTGAGGGATAAATTAATCCAGTTGAGGTATAGGTCCTATTTGCTTTCCTTTCTATAATTTCTTGAAATAATGATTTATCTGATCATTTTGTATTAATTTAGTTATCATTCTGTTAGTTTGTCTTTATCTCCTTAATTTTCATTAACAGGGGCAAAAATCTAAAATTACGGTAATGTATTATTAAAAAAACAGTGTATCTATTACGTCTTCAGTTTGGTTAGTTTTGTTTATATTTAATATTTTCTGTTTTTAACAAGAGTAGAGAATCCAATCAAAGGGCATCAAGAAATATGTATTATTTATTGTATTAAAGCTGGGAAAAAATGTTAGATTAAAGTTTTTTATGCCTTTGATGCTTAACATTTTTTAAGGATAAGAATTAAATGAACTGTTTAGATGTAAAATTTAACTTATTGTTTAAATCAGAGGAGAAGGAATAATTTTAATTCTTTGCTCCTAATAAGTTTTACTCATGTTTTCTACCATTAAAAAAACATCTACAAATCTTGCTCCTTCCTCAGTGGTAGGAGAACGGGTGGAGGCTTTGCCAGATTTGGCTCCCGACTCAGCAGGCGGGCGGGGAGGCAAAGGAGGGCGGTCCCGGCAGGACCTGGCATCACTGCCCGCCGAGCTCATCAGCCAGATCGGTAACCGCTGCCACCCGAAGCTCTACGAGGAAGGCGACCCAGTAGAGAAGCTGGAGTTGGTCAGCGGCACCTCTGTCTTCATCTCCCGCGCCCAGCTCATGAATTGTCACGTCAGCGCTGGCACCCGCCACAAAGTGCTACTCAGACGGCTGCTGGCCGCGTTCTTTGACAGGTCAGTGCCTGAAATCATTCACGTACCAAGTCAAACAGATGGAGGCAGAACAAATGAGGCCATAATACTATCTGGTACTTTGTAAAGGCGTTGCAGAGGAAAGCTTGATTTAAATGTTTTTACACATAAAAAGGTAAGAAAAAGGTTAGAGCAAAGTGTTTGGGAGTTACTCACAGTAACTTTCATAAGTATTTCTACCGCATTTTTTTATTTTAGAAACATGCGTGCATTTTAATGGGACTGGCACAAAGAAGAGCATAATTCTTAAGAGGAAGGAGAAGGACAAAGCAGCCATTAAAACTCAGTCATTTCACCATAAATACTCTGTTGATCCCTCAGAGGTTTGATGATGAGAAGTTAATGGAAAACAGATGCAGAGAAGTTTAGAGCCACTCAGGTTATAAAACAATATCCTGAATTGGACATGGACCATTGTTCAACCACCATTTACCGGCTGCAAACATACCTCAATGTGTACCTACACATACCAGGCAGAAAGCGCAAGAGTTGACAACATACCCATAATGGAAATGTGAAATTAACTTGAAAGATGCTGCTGAAGTTTCAGAAGAGACAAAACTAAACATTTCTGGTCTGCAAACGTTTGGTCTACCTGAAAAGTGCATTGTGTGGTAGAAAACTAACTCTGCTTATCATGTTGGAGTTTCCACAGTAAAGCATGGTGGTGGCAGCATCATACTTTAGGGATCATTTACATCAACAGACTAATTGAAGCTAGCCAGATTTGATGGGAAGATTGATGGAATTTAATACAGGATAAAACTTAGAAGAAAAACATGGTACAGGGTTCCCGCGGGTCCTTAAAAAGTCTTAGAAGGCATTGAATTCTTCAAAATAAAACTAAGGCCTTAATTGGTATTAAAATGTCTTAAATTAGTCTTCCGTAGGTCTTTATTTTTAAAACATCATAAATAGGATAATTTTTATTACGATTTATTTTTGTAATATAAATAAAACGTTAAAATTGACAATTTTTTTTTTTTTTATAAAAAAAAAAAATAACGGCTCGCCATTATTGGTTCCGTCTTGATAGCGGAACCAATAAAAGCGTTGTTGCGGCCGGGACATTTGGGAGATGCGCCATTAACTTTTTGTCTGGAAAATATGAGCAAGTGTAAATGTAACAAAAATTGGCTCCAGCCAAGAGTTTTCTCCATGCCTAAAACCAGTACCAGGGAACATATATGAGGAACAGTGAAGCTCGGAACGATGGGAATTAAGGCAGTGGAGTCGCACATGCGAAGCACGAAACACAAAGCGTCAAAATAGAATTACCGGGAAACAGCCGGTATTTCAGTTTTGTTCCACCATTGTCTCTGCAACGCCTTCACTTATCACCAAATCAAACATACTAAGAAAACGATACAAAGAAAAATAGCAAAAAAGACTTAGCACTGGTTATGTTGTGGCTTTAAAACTGATTTGTTTTGTTCCATGCTAAAACAAAGTTTGTGAATTCAGTTAAATAATTGTTCAAATATATCTGTCATTTGTGTGTTTTTCAGCTTTCTTCCTGTATGGGAAGCTTTTCAAAATTTGAAACATTAGTGCAGTGGTTTATGTTAAAATAAACCTTTAGGTTAAGTCGTCGCAAGCAGGTTCTTGTGTTTTTGTGAATTTGGTCTTAAATTTTTATTTCAAGTGGCATTAAAAAGTCTTAAAAAGTATTGAATTTAACTTGCCTTATGCTGTAGGAACCCTGATGGTAACACATGATGAGGTTAATAAAAAGAGGACAGAAGTTCACCTTCCAGTAGTGACGGTTTGAGATGTTTGAGAGTGACGAGGAAAGATGGGAATTTTGAGTCATAGAAAAAAAAAAAAGACTTAGATTACCCCTAAATAATATGTTGTCAGTTTAATTTTACCAAGGGGAATTATGAAATGTCTTTGTAAATATGTGAAAACATTGGAGCGCCTTCCTTTCTGTGTGTGGTTTTCAGGTAAGAAATTATATTATCTGCTTTATTTAAAGGTTTTTCCCCTCATAAGTGTTCCATTCAAATTGATTGTAGGGATTTGGGGATCTGGCTATAGGGATTGATTGATTGATTGATTGATTGATTGATTGATTGATTGATTGATTGATTGATTGATTGATTGAATAATTGATTGATTGATTGACTTTATCTCACAATGGAGAAATGTACTTCTCCACTGATAGTGGATAGTTGGGTCATTTTACTAAACATTCTGTTTTAAGTTCTTTTAGATGTTTATCATTCTCTCTAATATTGCCCTTGCTGTCTGCCCAGGAGCACACTGGCTAACAGCTGTGGAACCGGCATCCGCTCGTCGACCAACGACCCCAGCCGGAAACCTTTGGACAACAGAGTTCTGCACGCCGTCAAATGTGAGAGAAACTGTTGAATCTTTTAGTGAGATTTTGTGAAGCCCCAAGTTACCGCCCCTGATTCCTTTTTGTTTAATTTTCTTTAATTTCCTCAGTCTACTGCCAGAACTTTGCACCGAGCTTCAAGGAGAGCGAGATGAACGCCATTGCAGCTGACATGTGCACCAACGCCCGGCGTGTCGTACGGAAGAGCTGGATCCCCAAACTCAAGCTGCTGATGGCGGACAGCGACGCCTACTCAGCCTTCCTGGCCGACAGTGTGAAGATGGAGGCCGACGCACTGGGGGTGGAGCAGGGCTTCGACCCCGCCTCCTTAGAGGCCGTCGCAGCGGCTGCCAACAATAACGAAGCCTCAAGCGGGACCCTGCAAGTGGACGCCATGCCGGGGGCAGGAGGAGACGGCAGCACTTTGTTTTGAACAGGTAGATGTGACGGACCCAATTCTCTGGGGGCAGCAAGTCCAGAACATTGGCCACTGCAGTCTGGATGACTGAGTTGTCCCGCCCCTCCCAGCCGCCCTGTCGCTGGGAATCTGTTCCTTCTCTTTCTCTTTGGTCAGTTTCTTATATTTTCCTTTACTTTGCTTGTTTAGAGCCTGCTCTCTCTCCACAACTCCAATTTTTTATTTTCATCTGATGGAGACAGACAGAAAGGCAGGGCCAAAGGTAGCAGAGCAACGAATGTGAAACCCCCCCAACACCTGTTCATTCCTCTGCAACCTTTCTCTGCTTTTAGTTCTAGATTTTTAAAGCTTTTATCGTCACTAAGGCCCTTTTCCTTCACGATCAGTCACAGACATTGGGAGGGCTGTCAGTGAGTTTAAATCCTGTTTGGAGAGAGTGATATTAGCAACCCCCCCCCCCCCCCCCCCCCCCCCCCCCCCCCCCCCCCCCCCCCCCCAAACTCCGGTAACACTGTTGTTTTAATATTGAATGTATGCGAGGCGAGGCACCCAAACTGCAGCGTTGTAAGGCAGTGATGACTGAAAGATTGTGCTGAGCCCCCTATAGGTTTTGATTCCTTTGCTTTATTGCATCCAGACAGCGGTGAGGTGCAACGTTGTCGAAGGGTGCGGCGCCCATGAAGTGGAGGGTTGTAATTGTTGATGTGTATACAGGCATGGTTTAAAACCTACAGGCCCCACTTTCTAAAACCTGCCAATGTTGTTTGGCAGGTGTGTTTTGACGTGTCGGACGTTGAAGATATTGTAACCGTTCCTCGAACCCTTGATCCACAACCCACCCCACCCCAAAAAACAAAAAAGCTGTTTGCATAAATTGTTTTCCTATTTCATTTTTGCCAAGGCTCCTGAGGGAGAGGAATTCTGTTACAGTTGACAGAGAAAACGCGAAGAATAAATGCACTGTTATTTTATGTGGTTTGAGTACAATCGAGATACGTTTTTTTACGGATTTGATTTTTAAAAAATCTAAAAAAAAAAATAAAATCCTAAAAAGTTTTAGCTATTATCCAATTTTAAAGAAATCTGTGTTTACCACCTATTTAAGAAAAAACTATTTAAAAGCAACAAAGTGTAAATAAGCAAGTTTCCACCTTTTAGCTCACTTAGTATTTGGGAGTGCATGTATGCAGTGCTTTGAAAGGTATGTAAAGGCCTAAAACTTTTTCACATTGTCGCAAAAAAACACAAATTTTACAGATTTCATTATATTTGTTTTTGTGAAAGACCTTAACAAGTAAAGACATAAGTGTGAGGTGAAAGGAAACAGATACGAGGTTTTCGATGTTTGTTTTATAGAAAAGTATTTAGAAAAAAGCTTTTACCAAGCTTCCTGTTTCATATTAGAAAAGAATTATCCATCCAGTAACCACAGGAATTAGATGGTTTAGGGTGTGGTCTGACTGAACATCTAGATTTTATTTACAGTAAAGCAGGATAAATAAGAACTAATGCCATACTATATATCAAAATCTTTTATATTGTTTGTAGAAAAAAAATGCGGCCCATTTTCTTCCACTTTACAGTCATGTGCTGATTTATGTTGGTCTGTCACATACGATCCAACAGAGTACATACATGTTTTTGCTTAGAATGCGACCAAATGCGATTAAAGTTCAGGGAGTATGAATAGTTTTGCAAGCCTCTGAGTGAATGGATTCCTTTTAGCTCTTGTTTACATTGAAATATTTGCAGCCATGCCGCTAACAGCGCAGGTTTTCCCTCAGGCATTCTGGCTGGAATTGACAGAAGTGCTGATACTTGGCAGGAAATAGCAGTTCTGTGTGTAGACGTAGGTGTGTTTCGAATGGGCCACTGGTGTGTGTGTGTGTGTTTTGCATGAGTGAGAAAGAGAGAGTGGGATGTCAGGCAGCACGGTTTCACACACGCTTAGCCGATTCATTCACTGTTCAGATCCACACGCTAATACACGTTTGGGTCTGCACTATGGCCACAGCGCGCTGAGGAAAGGTTGGAATCAGAGCCAGAATTACACCAAAGCAGAGTCCATCACATCTGAGTCATCAGCTGCAACGTGTCTGTTTTATGCGAACTAAACATCCTCCGCACTGTTTGTGTCTTAAAGTGAAGTTCATGGCTTTCAATTTAAAAAAGATGTTAAAGAAAAGAAACAGGAGCTCAACCAAAAAAAAAAACATGTTGGCATAGAAACAGATTAAACTAAGCATTTAGATAAAAGAACCAGAACAATAAAAAAGTGGCCTTTTGTTCAGGAAATTTTAAAAATGACCTTCAGAACCTAAAACCTGTGAGAAAAAATGTATCGCTTTTATTTCACAGATGAGTATTGATTTTAGCTGCTAGTGTTTTTGATATGAAGGATAGTTTGAAGTGTAAAATAATCTGTAGAATTAAATATAAGGATCTCAGATATTCTATACGTGCAGGACAGCATTGTCCAAATGTGGGAGATCCAAACTCAATGGCAAAAAACAGATCATGAAAAAGTCATATCTAATTAAAAAGATGGTAAATTGATGTGCATCTATAGGTAAAACCAAATGACTTTACTGTTAGATATTTCTGACATTTTGTTACACCTAAGTGTTTCTACCTGCTTTTCTACCAGTGATCCAGCAAACTGCAAAATCAGCCAGAAGACATATATTATTAAAACCAGACTTTAATATAAAGAAGAGTAAACATAAAGAATAACTTTAAATGTGATAAATATAAACCAGTTCAGTGGAGTGTTTAGGTAAAAAAATCCGTATATCAGCAGATATTATTCATGACGACTATTCTGTGTACACAGGTTTGAGAGTAAGATTTTAATGGTAACATACACAGCAACATATGATATGGCTTCAGCTTTATGGTGGTCAAAAAAGTGTAAAAAGCTTTGAAATAAATACATTTATTGTAATAGTAGCATAACCTTGCATAGGAATTTAGAAAGATTCAGTATTCACCCATATTTGTATTATCTATAGGCCAATCAAATTTAATGCATTTTTTATTTTTAGCTAAATTACCTATTAGCCACACTCATTAGCAAGCATTGAAGTGTGGCTATAAAATAATTGTTTTTCATTGTTTATTGAACAGGATTTGAAATAGAAAAGATATGAGAACATGCCATTTAATTTAGACTAAAGAGTGATGGTGTTCCTTAAACAGGAAATTAATGCAAAAAAATTACTCTAAGCTAGCCCACTCCACTAGCATCATCTTCATCAGAGCTACAACAACAGATCAGATTCTTCAGACTTGCTGTAAGAAAGAAAGACATGCCGCTTAAATAAAGTCAGTAATAGGACCGACAACAACTTTTCATTTCCCTTTTGGATTAGTTGGTTTACGGAACCTTTGAAGTCCACATTTACGCTATATTCAGTCATTCCCACGCTGATGGTAATAAGCTGCCCTGGGGCTGATAGGAATAGGGCTGCCTGCTGGGGCCATGGTCCCTCTGACCACCATCAGTGTCTTAGCCCAGAGCACAAGAACTGAGACGAATGGAGCTGGGGTTCCAACTGGGAACCCTTTGGTTGCAGGATGAACCCCAGCATCATGTGCCATGGTGAACTATTGAACAACTGGAACTGTGGCTTGTAAAAAGGACCCTAGGTGATGCGTTAATTAATGATAGGTGAAACAAATCTCTACAGGTTGCAGGTAGAGAAGGCTTCAGATACAAAAAGTGTCTGTATCTGTGAAAAGCCAATTACTATATTAGCATTGTAAATTACTATATGACTTACAGGTTATTGATCCAGACTGCTTAGCTAGATTATACTAACTTAAACAGTAAGATAGTAAATCTGGATTGTTTTAGAAGAGAAAAAAACAAGCACTTTATAATATGTGTAGCTAAAAAAGAAGCAAAAAATTGCCTAAAATTCGATTGCTTGTTTTGGTTAACTAATATTCAAGCTTCCTCTGCACATGCATATGATATATAAATAAAAAAAAAGTACTACTCATTTTTTGAAGGTGAACCAGTCCAACAACCAAAAAATCCTCTAGATTAACCAATCAGTGATCATCAGATAATATACTGGAAAGTCTGATTTTTCACTAAATACATCAAAACTTTTGACCTTTTTAATTTAGAAGGCAAAGCAAGTTTATTTGTAAATGAATTAAACAATTAAACGGTAAAACTGAATGAAAATAAAAGCAACTAAAGATAAAAACCTGATAAAAGAAGGTAGTTAAGCAAATAAAATACACAAACTTAAGCTAATGACACCTCAGTTAACAGTTTAAGTTCAACAGCTTTTCAAACTAGCGGGCCTGCAGCACATTCTTTGCGTTTAAGTTTTATAATCCATAGAATAAATATCACAAATTGTTTTATCTATATCAGCAAGTCAGACCCTCCAAAAATGAGGAAATGTATACGAAATGGAAAAGTATCCTTATAATTCTGTCAGACCCTCTCTAATACAGGATCAGTGTTGTTCAAAAGTATTTCAACACCTTAAAAACAAGAAAATAGGCAGAAAATATATAAGGTTGTTTTCAAATCAGAACAGACCCAAGTAATAGATCAGTGTTAAGAAATAAAAATGGTGTCTCCTCTGTCGTTTTTTTAGAAAACACTTCTTGGACAAATTATTTTTTACATTTTCTTTAAACATCCTTTCACTATAAACACAAATTGATGGGAATAGATTTGGGATTTATGTATTCAAGGTTTTCCCTGATATTTTACATGTAGTTTACCCATAGTTTAGCATAACCATGACTTAGATGACCAGATTTAAGAACACTAAAGTATATTTATGCTGGTCTTTGGTCAAGTCCACATAGCACAAAGCTTACTGTGGGGCTGCTAAGAAAACACCCCCTATCATCCATTGTTCATTTCTCCATGAAATGTACGGATGATTCTTGGAAGCCTCGACTGAGCACAAAACTCCTAAAACCACAGTTTGAAGCTGGTTGACCACATGATGGTTCTATAGGGTGAAGACATCTGATCTGTTTATGCTAATTGGATCTCTATATATCTATGCTTTTGTTTGATTATTTTGAGAAATCTCCAACTGGTGCTCCCTAAATTTAAAGACATTTAACCAGAGTTGTTGCTCCACTTTCCATCCAGTGTTTAATACTCTGTTTTAATATGTATTTGTATTTCTTTAGTATTGTTCCTCTGGACAGGACACAGAGACTGAGAAGCACAAGAAGCACGTGGTATAATCGAGAGACATAAACAAGTTTGGTACCCGAGGGACACATTTGACAGTAAGTCTGAGGAATCAAGAGACAAAAAAATGTAAATAGGTTCAAGAAAAAATAAAACAGAAGAGAACTTAGAAGACAAGGGTTTTGGATAGTTTGCTTTATATTGTTGACCTCTCACCCCCCAAAAAAACATCCAGGTGTGTATTTGTCTGTGTGTGAATGTTCCTTAAATGGGGGAAAATGTTCTGAG